ACAAGTGTTATTTAGAAAAATATCGAAATATTGAGATATATGTGTTTAAGAAATTACTTTTATTAAAAATACTCTACAAATTTTTTAAAAAAGAATTGTTTTCAAATATTTTTTTCACCGAGAAAAAAAATTCAACCAAAATCACCATATTTGTATGGTAAAAACATTTCTGATGATGGACATCGCAATTCTAAGAATTAAACCAACATATACGGTATTTAAACCATTTATATGGCAATTTTTCCGTTTGCTGTCATTACAGCTTACAGTAAATTATGCTTTTCAAAATTATAGTTCTTATTACAATACATTTAGTAACAAATACATATCTCAAAAGTAAATATAACCAAATAAATGGTTTTATGTCATGCTATAAAGTATCATGGCAAAATTACTAAAATGATTTTCATAACTATCAATCATTTTACCATTTGTTTGGTAATTTTGACCTTTTGATGCCTTCGTGCCCTTCAGTATATTTAGAATGGCAGTATATTTAAATGGTTGACAAGAATTAGATGACTGTTAATTATTTCTTATTCTAACATAATTTCTCTATAATAACAAAGGTTAAAGGGAGATGAATGATGGCTTCAAATGTTTAATTAAAACGTTTTCGAGATAATATCATATTGCTGACTATTTCATCAATCTTTTTTGAGGTAGTGAGATTTATTTATTCATTTATTTACAGATTTATTTATTTACGTACTTATGAAGGTTTCGTTGACTTAATTCTTTTCAGTTTGAAATAACAGATAGCAAAATTTTACAAAGAAATTAAAAATATGCATCGAACGTTATAGCTGAATTTAAACCCACTACATTTACGCTTCAGAGTGGTTAACGGAATATTTTATTTCATTTTATAACCATCGTTGAACAGACGACCCAATTTTTGGGTGTACGATAACTAATGCTCAACTTCGTAGCCTTGTAATTTTGAATCCAGTCCAGAAGACAAGAGGAACACCTGGATCAGGTATTGGGAAAAATTTGCCTTCGTAGAAGACTTTTTGATGAAACTAACCTGCATTTGCGTTACGTGGCGAGGAAAACAACGAAAACTTCCAACGGTTAGCCGTACGACAAGAGAACTCTAATCCATGATCCGTCTACCACGGAGGATATTTAACGTCAGCACTGTGGTCGATGCAAGCCGGATGCGGAACTCGTATCAACCAGCCATCGCTGGGATTCGAGCCCGGTTCACATCATTGGTAGGCGAACGCTCTCTATCCCCTGAGCCATCACGGCTCAGTTAGCGGAATAGTATTATTGCACGGTGAGATTCAAGTAAAACAACTGTATAATAATGGGTCCTTTATTGCCGCGGGATGTTCTCCTTCTGCAAAACGCCCAGAAATGTAAAAGAAATAGGTTCACTATCCTTGTGCTGTTTTTCTCATTTTAATGCTATCTTTTCTGCAATTTGACAAGAGACAAGCAATTATTTGCATTAAGCCTCGATCCAGTAAGACGAGACTGGTGCAAAATCACTTTAAAAAAGTCCTTACTATTCTAAGATTTTTTTTCCTATTTCTGGATACGCATTCATATGCAAGCTTGTGTGTTCATTACAAAGTACGATATATTATAAGACTTTGTCAAGTCGGAGATCAGATAAGGAAAGTTTAAAATGATCATAAGGAAATGATTCGAACCCGTAACCTCTAAGCATACATTTTTAACCTGATGCAGTAATTTTAATTACCCTTAAATAGTATCTATTTAAAAACGGTTAAGTTTCTGATTTAGTTCAGCCTTGACCAGGTATTTGCAATTTAAGAATGCATTTTTTTTTTAAATTTTAAATGTTAGTAGATGTTAACTTACAGCTTACATCGGAGAAGAAAAAAAAACAAATAACCGGCGCGAAGCAAAGCTAACTAGTGTTTGCTGAATAAAATAGAAGATTATCAAAATAAACTTTTTACGTCATCTCAAATTATTCTAACACTATTAAATTTCCGACTTTTTCTTAAAATTACCTCATTTTACAGCATTTACTAACAAACAGCATGGTAGTAACAACCATATTTCATTGTTAATTTTACAGAAAAGTCATTACCAAAGCACTTCGTTAAAAATTACCTTACGTTTTGGTATTCCCATAGAGCAGTGTTTCCCAAGCTTATGACTTTTGTGCACCTTTTCTAAATTTTTCGTAACGCTGTGTACCACTAATAAAAAAATGAATGTATTTTTTTTTAAATATGTTTATTTTTCTTTTTCGGTACAGAGCTTTGTTAATAAGTTTATTTGCATCAGTGAGAAGGATGATATTGTTTTTGCTGTGATAAAAAAAAATTACATGAAAGTTAAAAATCACAACTGGCTATTGACACCACTAATTATTAACTATTAACTCAGCAAAAAATAGCCAATAAAAAAATACTTAATTGTAAATTTTCATGGCTAGCTTTGTTTTTAAATAAAAGTTTTTGACATTTTCGTTTGTTGTAAGATATTTCGCATAAGAACGCGCACCTCCTCTGAACTGTTCCCGTACCCCAGGGGGTACGCGTACCACACTTTGGGAAACACTGCCATAGAGCCAAAAATACGGTAAATTTGACCCTATTCTGGTAGTTTTGAGCATATTTTCTTTCTCAGGGGGAATTGGACTTTTAAGAAAGAATATATAACAATATATTTCAACATTTATGTCATTATTAACAATACTTTTACTTTATTCTAGAAAAAAAATGCACAGGTAAAAATATTAATTTTTAGTGATAAGAATTACAGAACTTTCATAAGACAGCAGCAAGTCATACTAAACTGGATTATTACAATACATGCAAAATCATATCATTCAATGAAGTTGATTCAATTCGTTGAGATAAGTTTATTACGAGCATTTTGTCTTTTCTAGCCCTGATGCTAAGGTATCCTCAAATTTATAGATTTCTTTAGTGCTTCAAGTTTTATTTCATCATCTTTTGGTTCAAATTATTACTAAGTCCATATAACTTTAAACGCAATTTACTCTAAACTATGCTTCTCGTAATTGATGTATCTTTAACTAGTTCACTTTTCAACCGATTTACTTCAAGTTTTGACACATACACAATGAATTAGCCTTCGTCGCCCGTAGGGATATTTTTAATTGAGTTGACTGGGTTTAAATAATTCAAGAAAATGCAGCATATTTTATATCATTTTTTTTTCAAAACACGGATATTTTCTAAAAGAAGAAAAAAAAATTAAATATCCAAGGTGCAACAAAAACAACATTCATATAGTTTAAAATACTTAAAAGGAATCAAATTTGGATAGTTTTTTAAACTTAGTATAGTAAGCTATAGATAATTTTAAAAAAATCAATTATAAATATTGCATTATAATAAGCGGATTTAATAAATTTTTGTATTTGTTGCATGATAAAATGAAAATTAAAAAACGTGAAATAAGATAAAAAATAATATGAATAAAGTTAAGTTAATCCTAATTGTTTGAAATTCATTAAAAACTCCTTAACTCCTTCTTTTTAAAAGGCTTCTGCTGTATTGTTCCCCCCTCAACTAAATACTTAAGGCACTTGGGAACATTGCCACTTGTAAGAAATATAAAACAGTTAAACTTGTCTATAGAAAACTATTTAATTCCAGAATTTTATATGTTTAGTTATTTTTGTTTTTATAGATATAATTTTTATTTTATTTACTTAGTTATAATTTTTGTTTAATTGTTTTAATCAAATACTGAAGTGTAAATAATCATTCTCACAGCACAAATAGAAATTAAATCAGTTCAAATAAAAGTATTTTTATTTCTGACGTTGTACTCAATTCCCAAGATGCAGTAACGTTCTATAAAGGTTTGTCATTTGTCAAAGAATATACCGAAATATCGAAAAGAAAACAAAATGGAAAATGTGTCGACTAAATCGTAAAAAAACATTTGATCTAAGATGAATGATTTATTTTGTATTCCTCTAAGAAGAGAAAAGTTTGTGAGTTACATAGTCATTTTAAAAATTCCTTCTTTCCTTTTTTTCTAAAAATAAATGCTAGATTTTGTAAAATTTAAAATTTTTTTTGATGCATCAACAGCAACAAAAAACAATTATAATAAAAAATTAAAATCTTTAATAATTAAACCATAAATTAGTTTATTACAGTCTTAAAATAGTCTTGGAGCTGCATACCACAAATTTCAAATCATCAAATTAGACAAACACGTGTTTTAATAAACTTTTTCAAGTGTAGGTATACTTCTTAATTCTAACAAATTATAAAATTTCAAACATAAGATTTTGAAACTTTTATAAAATTTTGAAACTTGCATAAAATTTTTACGAATTTCAAATTCTTTCTTTCATTGTTTCTTAAATAAATTTCATTGCACAAATTTTGTAAGACCTTCGAATTTTTTGGTGCATTAAAAATATATTAATGTACTAAGCAATTTTAATCACAAATTAAGGTGCTTAATAATTAAACTATTAATTAGTTTATTAGAGTCTTAAAATAGTTCAGGAGTTGCATACCGTAAATTTCAAACTATCAAATTTGACAAATACTTATTGTAATTAACTTTTTCAATAGTATGTTTACTATTTTTAGTCAGTTATAAAATTTCACATTAATTGATTAAAAAAAGGGATCTGGTTTTAAGTTTCCGCGTTTTGAATAAGCCCGATTTTTATTCTAAGCACTTTTACTCGCCAATTTCTTCATAACTATAACAGAAAATAAGCTTTCTGGCTGTTTCAAAATCAATAAATAAAGCATATGTTTAATCAATAAAATAAAAACATTTCGTCAAATATTTTGCATACTCCATACGAGCTTTAATAATAATTTAAACTGATTCCACTTTGCGCGTCTGATTCGTAAAGTTTAACGCATTCCGTGAAATATATTTTATTCTTCAAAAATTCTGAAAGCTTTTTTCGCATTTAAATAAAAGCCATAACATATTCATTACTTGTCAACTACAGCAATTTACAAAACTCAAGTGGGATAAAAATAACAACAAAAATGATTACGTACTTGTCAGAGATGCTGAGTGATCAGTGTTCCTCATCCTCGTCTCTTGTTTGTTGTGAAGAACGCTACTCTGTGACGTCACTCCAAAGGTTATTCTCCCGACATCCTTTGCTCCATCATCACAAACCGGAAGATGCGGAGCAAATCTCGCATCTGCATTTTGAAAGAGCCGCTTTCTTTAAACTACCACTTTCACGTGAAGTTAATTAAGAAAGAGTTGTATTTCTATTCCATTTATTTAATTAATTATCTTTCTGCTGCCCATTTTGAACAATTGAAAAGTTTGGGGAATGTGTTTAATCAAAATTTCGTCTGCTTTGCAGGTATTTATCGTGCTCTGAACCGTATTTCACTACTTCACAGAAAATAGCCGTTCCTAAATTAGTTTAGCAACTCCTTTTAAAAACACAGACGGTACATTAAATTATCATACAACGTTTTAGTAGCGCGTAAACAGTAAATTAACAGGAACAATTGCAAATTTCTCCAGCAACTTTCAGTGACCGCTGATTAGAAATAATTATTTTAGAAAAGTTAGGAAAATAAGAGGGTTTTTAAATAAAGAGACTTACAAGGAAAACAGATGTTTTATAACCAACTTTTTCGTGCTTCTATGCATTTATGAATTAAATTTGTATTGATTATTCTCGTTTGAATTTCACTTTCTGAATTTTATATTTTAGTATTCTGAAAGCATCAGTAACCTTATAGATGCTTATAATTATTAGAAGCAATTTTTTCTTAATGTAATTTAACACTGGAGACAGGCGAAGAAATGACATATAGGTAAATTTTAATTGCATAGATTAAAAAAAATTAAAAAATAAAAATCTTATTTTTACTATATCATTAAAAGACACTTTCAACCCCAAAAAATGTGCATAGGTAAAAAATATAAATTAAACTCACATTTTGAAAATGGCTGTTTTTGTGAAAATTATCAACTGAAATAGCCAATTGAGTTTTGAGATTCCAATTTGTTCTAAAGTTATTAAAATTTGAAGGGTTTTTTTAGCTCTTTTTGCATTAAGAAATGACCTTATAAACTCTGTTGTAAAGATGAGTAAAAAAATTCTTTAAGCTCTCATTTCTTAACTGAAGTAGAAAATAAAAAAGAATCAATTGCTATAAGATCACAAAGATTTACAAGTTATTATTTTTCCACTTGAATAATAATAATAATAAAATAGTTTGGCTAGCTATTACTATAAAAACTGCATTGCTGAATGACAAAAAAGAGTAATTTGTCTTCAAAACAACAGTATCAGGATTAAAAATTCAAGAAATAATTAAATATTTTTTAAAAAATAAGTAAAAATTACATTTTAAAAAAATTTATGTTAAGGCTTTTACAGATCAGTTAATTAATATACTGACAGGGAAAATGTGACGTAATCAACAGGCAAAATGCAATATTTATCAATTTCTATCGTAAATTATGAGTCGACTAATTCAATTGTGTTGGTAGGATGGTTTGATTGCGAAATGAAGAATTTTTTTATGAAATAAAACAACGCAAATGAAATAAAAACCGATATTAGGCACTCTAATTGTGTAAATAGCTAATCGCAGTTAAGTATGCATTTTTTTTAATTAAATTACAAGAAATTTGGTCTAATATAAATAGGAAAAAAAGTAGTTTGCGTAAGACCACGCAACATACAAAGACTATTTTCAGCTAATAATCGAAAATTAGAGCTATGTTGCCAATCAAAAACGATGAGAAGCTTTCTAAGTTTTCTACCTTTTGTAACCATAACGTGCTACATAACTTCCAAACACTTGTCCCGGAAAATAAGTTTGTCTTAATATTTGTTTTTGAGAGTAGCATCAGCCCGGCAATGGACTGATCGTAAAGACGTGGTTCCCAGCAGATCACCGAAATCAAGCATCACTGGCTGCGGTCAGTGTGCGGGTGGATTACCACTTGGATCAGTCTACGTAGGGACCGAGGGTGTGCGGTATTGATCCTCGTTAAACTGTTCTACTGTAAAAAGCTCGACTTCGCGTGCAGGTCGTCAGGCTACCGAAGCGAGGGTGCCATCCCCCCTGTAGAGAATCAAAATTGTGATGGCATGTCTTCGGATCATCCTCGGGGATGTTTCCCAGATCGTCTCCAATAGCCCATTGTGCAGCTCTAGTGCGACGTAAATGAACTACAACAACAGAGTAGCATCAACACATCCTAAAAGCACCAACATCATTTAGCGCGGGTTGCTAAGAACTAAAAATCCGTTTCTTTGGTAGTTCGAACGTTGTTACATTTTTCTTACTTTTCCCCTACTGCGCTGTTTAGTCGTCCGAATGTTGTATCATCTTTCTTATTTTCATTTACAGCACAATTTATGTCCGTTTCATCGAACAACTAAAGTGCTCCGTGTGAAGGCCTTTTTTCTTCTAAGTTTTCTTCTTGGTTGGTCTTGAAATTTCATAGAAAATGTGGCAAATATGAAAGATTTGTTTAACTAGAAGTCTTATTAATTTCAATTAAGAACGTATTCCTTGAAAACGAGTTTGTTTCGTTGAAAATAATTATTTTCAGTCGGATTTAAAATTACAAAGCATAAAAAGATTACCGTCAATAAGTCATCGGAAACTAGAATAAAGTCTGTTTTTGAATGTCTGCTTCATAACGAGAAACAAAGATCTCTGTGAAGCATTTAAAGGAGTTGGGGAGCACAGCGAGAAGGGGAATAGCCCATAAGTATTATTAAATATACATTTTTTTCTGTTTAATTTTACAGATTTTCAGCGGAAAAAAAAAACATTTCATATACAACCTTTATGTTTATATTAAGAACAAAGCAATTTTATCATAACTATTGAACATTCTTCAATAAATTTACGAATTTTGCTAGAATTCCTCTGGGAAACATTCACCGAATACCGTCGATTTTAAAAACAGGAATTTCAAATTCAATAGCGTAAATTTACAATTCAAAGAATCGTGTTCAAAAGTAGGAAGTAAATCGCGTTTTGCTCACTTTTCAGAAAGTTTTTATTTCCCTTAAATTATTCAAAATGAAATCTAACAACCGAAACAGGTGCAGCAAGAATTTTATTATATAAGTAGATATTTTTATATAAAGTTTTATTTCATTCGCTTTCAATGAAAAACGCGTTATCTGCTGTTTTAATGAACATTGAAATAAATAAATTAGGGCAAAATGACATTTTAAAAAAATTCGATTGTTTAGGTTTCAAAAATATAAAATGAAACTTAATTGAAAGTTGAAACTATTGCAACCTTTTGAACTAGGATACAATTAAATATTTTTAAATAGAATAAGCAATTTGATTTTTAAACCTAGCTAATGGAATTTTTAAACCTTTGCATTGAAAAATTTTAAGTTTCTGTTAAAAAAACAAAATTTTGAAGCCGGAATTAGAATTGTCTGAACATTTATCTTAAAACGTTTAAAATTAATAACAGTAAATAAAATTATGTAATTTTAAATGAGATGGGATAAATCTTTTTTCAAAATTAAATAATAATAGCTAACAGAAGTAAATCATTATTTTCTTTTTCTTCAAAAAAACCTATAAAAAATTTGTATATTTCAATTACAAACGAATTCATTACATCAAAAGACATCAAAATAAATAGAAAAACATTTTGCAATATACAGAATTTTAAAAAAAGAACATCCTAAATAACTTTTGATCTGATGATTGGATAAGACTCAATTTTATAAGAACGAGGGCCTAACCTAAAATATGGTAATTATTTAGCGTTGACGATATTTTAAGCTACAGAATCGACAATATTTTAAGACACAAAAACGTAATTTCGCTTTATAAACATACTTTTTTCCCGGAGAGAGATTCCTGAACTTCAAAATATCAGGGACAGCCTTCTTCTTCTCCTTCTTCTTGGGCACTACAGCCTATGACAGGTCAAGGCCGTCAATATAAGTTTTTGTCATCTTGATTTATTCTGTGCCAGTCAGTTATTCCTATTATCTTTAGGTCTCTCTCAACTGCGTCCAGCCACCTAGTCGGTGGACGACCCCTTTTTCTTGTACCTTCTGGCTTAGAAAAAGTTACTTTTTTTGCGGGGTTTTGGTCTTCAGATCCATAAAGGTGTCCCAGCCATCGAATGCGATTGGCCTTAATAACATGAACTATGTCTGGTTGTTTATACATTTTATATAGCTCATGATTGTAAAGGGTGCACCATTTGTTATTCTCATGGACTGCACCAAAAGTTCTTCTAAGTAATTCTTCTAATAAGGCTTTTAGCTTAAAGGAATTATGATTTTCGATTGCTCTCCTGCCTAAACTATTGGGACTATATCCTCTAGATTGCGGCTTTTAACTTAGAGGAATTCTGATTTTCGATTGCTCTCCTGCCTAAACTATTGGGACCATATCCTATAGATTGCGGCTTTTAGCTTAGAGGAATTCTGATTTTTGATTGCTCTCCTGCCTAAACTATTGGGACTATATCCTCTAGATTACGGCTTTTAACTTAGAGGAATTCTGATTTTCGATTGCTCTCCTGATTTGTTTGAGTTTTAATACAGTTTACAGAATGATCATTTTCATTTGCCGGCTCAGATCTTGTGGGAGGAATGTTGCGATTTGTGTTGCGACGTAAATTTGGATAATTTGAACTGGTGGAGCTGCGTGGTTCATTATTACTGGAACTAAGTGAGTGTCTAGTTGACGGGAGCTGAGTTCTCGGTTTGTTGTTTGATTCTTGAACGGATCGTAATGAATTTCGTGATTGAGTTGTAGGTAAATTTCGTTGAGGAGGAGGTAAACTGCACATAAAAGAAGCATGACCTTTTTCTCCGCATCGCCAGCAAGTAATATCTTGAACATCGTCAGTAGCAGGGTTATATTTACGTCTTAGTTCAACGTGCGAAATGAAATTTTTTGACTGATTTTTAGGTACTGAAATTAAATTGTTAGCTGATTGGCGTGACATATTTTCTTGTTTGAAACTTCGAATTGCATCAAGTGCGGCAGCTCTGTCAATTAATTCTTCGACAGTAATGGAATTCTGAGTAGCTAATGCAATCTGCCATTTTTCTTCTGTAATATCACCAATTATCATAGAAATGCGATCAGCTTGTGGTATANTTTATTATATTTCACTGGCACTAATTTAAAATATATTTTCCAGAAATCAATTATAATAAAAAAAATTATCCAGCAATTTTTTGTTTTGCGGACCATTTGGCGCCCCTTTGTGAGTAGCGCCCGGGGCATGATGCCCCCCTTGCCCACCTCTCGCTACGCCACTGTGTTGACATCTTGGCGAGAAAAGTGCAGCGAATCTGTTTTGGCGACGTATGTTTGGCGAGAAGAAATCAGTATGTAATGGAATTCAATTTTCAAATTTTTTTTGGTTAAATATGTTATTTTCTGTCAAAATAGGTTTACCTGGGCGAGTTTCAGCCAATGATGAATACTTTTTTGCTTCGTTGGCAGTCAAAATTTCATGGAAAGAATTTAAAATGTAGCGATAGAAGAAGATCGATGTTCAAAGAAGAAGTTGTGAAAAGGTTCTTTTTTAAAAAGACGGCTGCGCCATATAAGATAAAGTTGAATGACAAGGAATTAAATTAATATGCAATACAGTAAATAAGCGAAGAGATATTTTATAAAAGTATTTAATGAAAAATAATAACAGCGAAATATATGCGTTTGCGAAGCGTTCTATTTACATCTCTGAATGTTGCCACCTTTTTATATGAAAGTTAAACTATTCTCTGCTATAATAAAATTAGACTTTTGCGAACCTTACATTTTGTTCAAATTTTCAATCGTCGATAAAATACTTTTTTACATCCACTCAAGCTCAAATACATTTTTTTAAACTTGATGACACTTGATGTTAATACCGTTTTTACAAATATCAGTTCATTAATTAAATTTAATTAATTAACTTTAGTCTTAGATGGAAGAAACATTTTAATTATTTAATAAAAGGTAACTAAATTAAAAACTTTCTTTGTTGACCTAAGTAGAGATTGACTTTTTAGAAAAATTATATTACTTGTTCTTTTGTGCTCTGTACATTTCATGAAAAAACAAAGCATGTTGAATAGATTGCGTACTAAAATTCAATTTTAATCGTAAAAGAGAGGATCTTAAATATAATATAATGCAGAGATATGCTAAGTTTAAAATCAAACGCAAAAACGCACTTTTTCTGTATAAGAACTGAAATTTTCGAGAGCTTTCTGGCTAAACTCTTAAGATTATATATTTAAAAGTGCGACTAACTAATCAATACTAAAAATTACCACCTTCAGATTCCCATATTTTGACTCTCCAAAAGAGACTTTTTTTGAAAAAGGGATTCATTATTCAGAAAAGTATGTTTTTGTGTCAGATTTCGTGTATTTAGATATTGTCAGCAACTTACTAATTAGTATACTTTCATTTCTTCTATGTTTTAAACCAGTGGTTACCAACTGGCGGCCAGCGGGCCGCATCTGGCCCACGAAGCCTTTTTTTGCCCACGAACTAAAATATATTAGTTGTCATTTTTTGAGGACAATTTTCGTAAAAAATCCATATGGGCTTAAAATAGTTTTCTTTCTTTAAGAAAAAAAAAATGCCTAGTTTCTTCGTTTTTGCGAAATTTAATATACCAACGGCACAAAGAAATTTATCTCTCAGGTTTTGCATCCAAGAAAATATTTATTCAAATACAAAAATAATCGTGTATGTTGCTTAAAAATATCCTTCCATTTTTAATTTGTAATTCAATACGTTTGTTTTGTACAACTTGATAAAAATCTGACAGTAATATTTAAAGTTCCTGCGAACATAAAAGAGCCCTAGATAAAATTTTGATAAAGTTGCGGCTCGCCATTTGACTGGTGTTTTTAATTGCGGCCCCCGGCCTCATGTAAGTTGGAAACCCCTGTTTTAAACCATTAATATTGCTTTCTAGTACCTGCAAGTACGATTATCAAATCAAATGTTAGTCAGATTATGTCCTTTTTTTAAAAGCGCAATGCGCTTGATTTAAAAATTAATTTATATGAAAAAAATAATAACAAAATTGCAAAATATCGAGAAATACTTTTACTTTTCCAAGTCGAAAGTTTCATCACTGCAATTTCTTCACTTTCACAATTCTTGAAATTCAATACTTCGTTTTTTGAGAAATGGTTAGTTTTAGTTTCACATAATTGGTTGATATTTTTATTATTTTCAATGTCCATCACATTTGGCAACAATATGCTGTCGCGGTGCTTCACGGGCTGTACTATTGGTGTCTTTTTCATGGGCACCATATAGGTGGAGCGTCACCCCAACTACTTAAGAAAAACAGATAGAATAAAGAGAGATTGCATCCATACCAGAAGCGGAATTCGTACCCGGGGCCTTTCTGGCAATAGGTCAGCTCCCTGACCACCATGCAGCCCAGTCGATTTAATTTTTAGTCGATTGAAAAACACTTTTCCCAAATTATAAAAAATCATCACCCTGTAAGGTATGCATACAGATATGAACCATTAGAATGAAGAGATAAGTTTTCAGACACTAATCCTTAATCAAATATTGTGTAAAATTCAAGACAGTATCTCAAACAAGTTATGCCCGTTCTTGAATTGCTATAAAGATTTTCAAATAATTGTTTTGCATTTTCAGTATCATTGATTGAATGCCATTTGTATAAATATCAGTTTTTTCGCTTTCTTTTTCTCTCGAATTTCGAAATAACAAGGAAGCTCCACCCTCAGCCCCGTTGTGCTCGCACTAAAGACTTACAAGTTCGAAAATTATGTGGTTTTATCACGACGGGGATCACAAACTCCTCGTAGTAAACTGGTAATCAGATTTGCAACCTATGCGAAATTATATCTCTGTTCCTATTTTTTATCTTTCCCTTTTGAGTAAGTAATTATTAGGTGTCAAAGAAACGCTTTGTCGAAAATTAACCACTATTTTCAAACTTTTTATTTTTATGCAAAGGAAAGCACTAAAACTGAACACTGTATCTTTCAAAATGTTTGTTGTTAAGTTTGTTGAAATACGGAAAAAAGTAATGTAATTTTGCAAGTACATAAAAGATATTAAATTATTGACTCCTTTTCTTAATTTAGGAGTACTCTGAGTACCTTAAACAGTTAATCGAATGAACATAAACACAAAAAATGTTGAAAGAAATAATATAATGTATGTACATTCAACGAAAAATGAATATTTATAAGATTATTGATTCATCCTATTGTGTCCGTGTAAAGCAAAAATCAATTTTGTTTACGAAGAACGAAGTTTTGAATATCAAAAAATAAGTGTCAAGAAACTGGAGAAAGTGAAGCATATGGCAATTTTCTGGCACATATAGAGTTTCAGAGTAAATCTATTTCTGAAATTTATGTTTTTATATGTAAAAAAAAAGTCTCAATTTTTATCAATAAATTAAAAATAAGTACAGTGTGTTTATGAGAGAAAATACTCTAAATAACTTTCGATCCAACGACCAGATTTTCTCGTTTTACGGTAAATCTTAATTTTATTGAGAATCAGACCTTAAATACGCTAATTAATTGTAATTATATATATTAAAAGACACCTGGTTCGATCCTCGGGTCGGGCAAGGTTGACTGAACCTTCCATTCCTTCAGTGGGTCGAAAAAATAAGTACCAAGCATGCTTGGGAGTTCGGCTAACCACGGACAACTGCTCCTTCTACCCCAGAGCCCAAGGTCAAGCAAAATGAGATGGGCATAGTAGGTCTTGGTCCTCTTTGGGCTGTCGTTCCACTGAGTTTAGTTTATAGATATTAAACACACTAATTAGTTAAGTTAACAATCATAAAATGAAGTGTTTTTTAAACATTAAGATGTAACAATTTTAAAATTCAGATGTTAGAAAAATCTCAATGGTTACTGAAAATTTTGTCAAAAGGTTAATAAAAAAATATAATATTTGCTTACGTATATTGTAAATAAAGAGTAACTACTATGCAATAAAAAGTAATTTACCGTGGAATTGTTAATAAAGAACACCAGCCATTACTTGCATTAGTAATTCAAAATTAATCATTGCAACGAATCATGAAAATTTCGTCAAAAGATTAATACATAATATTTGCTTACGTGTAGTATTGTAAATAAAGAGTAAATTAATATGCAATAAAAAGTAAATAACCATGGAATGTTAATAAGGAATATTAGCCATCATTTGCGTTAGTAGTTCAAAATTGATCATTGCAATGAATCATGAAAATTTCGTCAAAAGATTAATACATAATATTTGCTTACGTGTATTGTAAATAAAGGGTAAATTAATATGCAATAAAAGTAAATTACCATGGAATGTTAATAAAGAATATTAGCCATTATTTGCGTTTGTAGTTCAAAATTAATCATCGCAATGAATCATGAAAATTTCGTCAAAAGATTAATACATAATATTTGCTTACGTGTATTGTAAATAAAGAGTAAATTAATATGCAATAAATAGTAAATNTATTAAGTACTAGGGGGCTCCGCCCCCTGCTCGCAACGCTCGCCAACCCCCAGAACTGCTTCGCAGTTCCATTGCATATTGCTTCGCAATCTTATAAAAACAATGGACATTGATGCATATTACGGGGAGAACCAATGAAAGAAAAGGGAAGAATGACTTGATGCCCAACTCTCAAATTGTTTTCAGCTGCACGCTGGTGTATGTAATCAGCTACATTTAAATACATATCTGCACGCAAATTACTTTGATTGTGCCTTACAAAATTTAAGCGTGTGCCTTCAATTCGAACATACATATCCACAACCCACTGAAGATACAGTTTTTGTGAACGATGCAATAAACTGAAAGTTTCTCTGATGGAAAGACGATAGGCAGCATACTGTCTCATTGTTGTTTTGTTTCGTTGATTACTTGTAACAGTGTGCGAAATATTAATATGCCATCCAGGATCACCATGGGGAAACAGTAGCGGATAAGCCAATAGGTCTAACGATGAGTCTAAAACAGAAACTGTGCGAATGCCACCTGACTTTGACATCACCACCAGGTTTCGTTCCCCAGGAGGTACTCCATCTACGCATCTGAAGATTGCTGCAACATCTGTACTTGTGGCATCATTGTACCGTCGTTGATCAGACGACGCGTTGACAGTGTGCATGCATATTTCCTTTTCATTTCCATCACTGGAATTCCTACAGAGATTACCCATTGTTTGAAAAGATTGGACATATGAATTCACTCTGTTCAAATATACAGCTATTTCATGCATAATGTTCGCATCACATTTGACATTAGCTTGTTCACGCATTCTGTGTTCAACTGCTGTATCTACATCATAAAAGTAATTCTGAGCGTACTTTGGCTGACAACCTTCACTTGGTATAAGTGAACCAACACGATGGTAAAATGTGTCATGGATTTTAAAATGATACATTCCACCGGTTACACTTTCATCTAAGTGTGTCTCAGAAATTATCCTGGCAAATGCAAAATTATAGGACCGAATATTGTCCAAATAATTTTGGGATCGTTTCTTTGCAGTATGGTCTAAAGATGTTACACCAGTAATCAAATTCTCAAAATATTGTGAATGCGACAATAAAGGAAGATCAACCTTGCCTTTCTGACAGCAAATATCATATTCATTGATACTTCCTGTCTTCTCTAACATAAAATGCTTAGCATGACAAAAGTTACAAATAAAAGTCATAGATCCAATAGTAAAGGGGTCACAATCGTCATGAACAGTCAATGCAGATTTGTAAAAATCTCGAATTTGTAGAGGTGGCGATTCCCTTCGGCGAGAAATGCTTTCCCGTTTAGAATTCCGCCATTCATTTCTCTGACGTCTGCCAGAGATATTTCGACGCCTGATAGCAGGCATTTTATTTAGGCAGCAGGCACTAAATAAATAAAAATAGAACTAAATAACTAAGATATCGTTTTAAATCTCAAATCAAAATAATTGTTTGTAGAAAGTTTGTTTTGGTTTGAATATTCGCACGTTTGTTTTGGTTTGAATATTCGCACGATGCCATTGCCATTCTATTGTAACGAAACAAAAAATTTATCATGAAACTAAAAATTTATCAAAGGAACTAAAGATATTGAATTCTTTTTTTAAGAAATTCAGTTCCGTTTTTTTTTATCCACTCTTATTTTTGTTTATCAATCTATTAATTCAGAAATGCTTTAAATCAAACGATGCTTACGGAAACAATGCTTATGCGAACCACCCGAAAAATGATTTGCTGAATTCTCATTGGTTGAAACTAAATTATTAATTTTATTAATTAATTAAAGGAAATTTTCATAATTTAAGACNCTAACGATGAGTCTAAAACAGAAACTGTGCGAATGCCACCTGACTTTGACTTCACCACCAGGTTTCGTTCCCTAGGAGGTACTGCATCTATGCATCTAAAGATTGCTGCAACATCTGTACTTGTGGCATCATTGTACCGTCGTTGATCAGACGACGCGTTGACAGTGATGTGCATGCATATTTCCTTTTCATTTCCATCACTGGAATTCCTACAGAGATCACCCATTGTTTGAAAAGATTGGACATATGAATTCACTCTGTTCAGATATACAGCTATTTCATGCATAATGTTCGCATCACATTTGACATTAGCTTGTTCACGCATTCTGTGTTCAACTGCTGTATCTACATCATAAAAGTAATTCTGAGCGTACTTTGGCTGACAACCTTCACTTGGTATAAGTGAACCAACACGATGGTAAAACGTGTCATGGATTTTAAAATGATACATTCCACCGGTTACACTTTCATCTAAGTGTGTCTCAGAACTTATCATGGCAAATGCAAAATTATAGGAGCGAATATTGTCCAAATAATTTTACACCTAAATAATTTTACACCTTTATTAATTTAATTAAAAGTTTCTTTGCAGTATGGTCTAAAGATGTTACACCAGTAATCAAATTCTCAAAATATTGTGAATGCGACAATAAAGGAAGATCAACCTTGCCTTTCTGACAGCAAATGCCATATTCATTGCTACTTCCTGTCTTCTCTAGCATAAAATGCTTAGCATGACAAAAGTTACAAATAAAAGTCATAGATCCAATAGTAAAGGGGTCACAATCGTCATGAACAGTCAATGCAGATTTGTAAAAATCTCGAATTTGTAGAGGTGGCGATTCCCTTCGGCGAGAAATGCTTTCCCGTTTAGAATTCAGCCATTCATTTCTCTGACGTCTGCCAGAGATATTTCGACGCCTGATAGCAGGCATTTTATTTAGGCAGCAGGCACTAAATAAATAAAAATAGAACTAAATAACTTAGATATCGTTTTAAACCTCAAATCAAAATAATTGTTTGTAGAAAGTTTGTTTTGGTTTGAATATTCGCACGTTTGTTTTGGTTTGAATATTCGCACGATGCCATTGCCATTCTATTGTAACGAAGCAAAAAATTTATCATGAAACTAAAAATTTATCAAAGGAACTAAAGGTATTGAATTCTTTTTTTAAGAAATTCAGTTCCGTTTTTTTTTATCCACTCTTATTTTTGTTTATCAATCTATTAATACAGAAATGCTTTAAATCAAACGATGCTTACGGAAACAATGCTTATGCGAACCACCCGAAAAAGATTTGCTGAATTCTCATTGGTTAAAACTAAATTATTAATTTTATTAATTAATTAAAGGAAATTTTCATAATTTAAGACCTTATTGCACCTCTACATAACAATACCTTTAAAACGACACCTTATTTGTTTAATTCTGTAGCGTAGTTTGGGAGTTTTTAGCGAGACAAAATATTGCTAGCCTATTAATATATAGATATATATGTATATTCACTAAATATATTAGATATAATATATTTAGTGAACACTACAAAAACTACATTTTTTTAGAATATATCTTTGAATGGCACTTCTTTTAACACAATGATAAAACTATTTTCCACTTGTTTCATTACGTATCTGTAGTTTAACCTAACTGATTACTTATGTTGCGCATTTGGTTTGACCGGGATAGCCTGGTTGGTACGGCGCTGGACTCGCGTTCGTGAGAACGGAAGTTCGAATAAAGCCGGCTGAAGACTCCCCGGGTAGTAAATTGTGACTGGTGCACATTAAATCTGTAGGGGCACAAAGTCCTCTATGTTCTCACAACAAATTATATCTCTGGGGTACTGGATTGGAGATTGATCATTCTCTGGTCCAGGTCAAAATCACGTGAATGAATGAATGGATGTAGAAATGGGGCCGGCCTGTAAACGGTTGTGACGTATGAGGGAGACAGAAGTAAAATTCTTGGCGTAGATGGTACAATTGGAACGCAAGAACATTTGCACCACCAGTGCCTTAATGGTTTACGACAGCAACGCATTTGTTTGCTAACAATAAAATCTAAGTCTTTTCTGTTTGAATGATTCATTAATGTACTTTTTTAATCCAAGTTGGTAGTTATATTATCGAAATATTGTATCGTCATTCTTTATTGCTACATTTTCTCATTTATTTGTTAAAAGATTCTAGAGTTTTGAGAGTTTTAAAATGTGGAATAAGTACAGCATTTCAAAAAAAAAAAAAAAAAAAAAAAAAAAAAAAAAAAAAAAAAAAAAAAAACAGGTTGAAAATTTAAGCAACAGATAAAAATTGCAAACGATCATGTTTAGACAATTTTCTCACAGGATGTAGAATGATAAAAAAACGCTATTATTTTCCATCCTTGAAGTTAAAATATTAAATAAAAAAACTTCTAACATTTCATTTTTAATAGTTTTTTCTTGTTTATTCTATTCAAATTTTGCAATGGTTTATTTTGAACTTTTAAATGACCAGAAAATTTGCCTCTGTAAATTAAATATAATTTTTCAACCGTGATTCTAAGACTGATATAATTATTTAATTGCGTATAAGAACTCGTAACTTCTACGTTGCTCTATTTTCTATATCAATGTACAGTTTTTTTTTCTCATTTAATTCTAACTTGCACCAGATATTTCTAATAACAGATGATCTCAGTTATATGCAATATAAAAATGTCTGGAAATATTAAACCACCACCTATTATTGTTTAGTCAAGCCATTCCCCACTTATTTATTAATAGTAATATTTTCAAGCAAAATAAAGATTTTAGATACTTTTGTACAAGAGACAATTGAAGCTTTTTTAGTGATTATACTGACGTAATTTGCAGATAGGAGAAACGGAAAAAAAATTAAAAATATCATAATTTGAAATAATATACCATGTGAGGAAAAACTCAAAAAAATATTATTTTTCACTTTTAAATATGAAATATTGGAAACATTTAATTCCCCTTTAAACTAGAATCTTCAAAGTACGTTTTAGGATTTACCATGGTTCACCAATGGATTATTTTCATAGCTTTTGAGCAATAAATCGGTATATAATTTTTTAAACACGAATTTAAGACAGTCCTAGTTATCCAATTTGTATTCAATTCGTAAAATAATTTGCTTATAGCATAAGCTCTAGAGCCCTCTAGTGGCGCAGTTAATGTGTAGCTCATACCACTGTTGAATAGCTGAGGGCCATAAGTTTGATCCTGGCAGCCGACTGAGCAACTGCCGTGCATGCTCAACAAAATGCAAGCTTAATCTGTCACATCTGGAAGTATTGTAGTTGGCTGGCGTTTTGAAATTTGGAAATAGGGCTACCAATTCAAACGCTTTCCGCATTGCTATGATGGGTCAAAATCTTGTGGTCCTTGAAAACTAGGGCTAGGTGCTGGATACTATGTACTCTATTTTAATACATTATGACGCAGATGTACTGGATATTTTAATTCCATATTGAAATATGAAAATTGATACCGCAAATACCAAATGATATTTGGAACACACAAACTATATAAATCTTTGAAAGTATTTTAAATATCACCTCCTTTCAGCGTGAAGCAAAATTGTTGTTTGCATTTCTAATTGTCTAATGGGGATTTATTTTTATTGATTGGTTTTGTTTACTTACTCACTTGTCTGCTTATTAAATATCAAAATCTTCTAAGCGCAATATGAAGTTTGCTGTGCACTTTTTTAAACAATGATAATCATTTAAAACATGCTACCACCTCTTAAAATTTGTTTAAAAACAGAGTAATATTTATGTATTTGTTAATAATTAAACAAGTAATTGTTCATTTACACATGCGCTTGAAGGTGTTCTATCGCAAAAACTAATCAATCTTCATTTAAAAAAGAGTTAAAGCCTCTACCAATAACATGATGAAATAACTATGACTTTAGACTTAAGAGAAAAAGGATTTTAAAACGAAAATGTTGCTGCAAAAATTAGTAAAATCTAAAATGCTACAGTCACTTAAAACAATTTTGTTACAAGATCTTGCTACGATTTACCCTTCTTTTAAATTAGGAAAAACAAAGCAAAACTAATAAAACTGAAAAGGTTTTCTTTAATGGGAGGTTGCAATAGAGTTTGATGTTTTAGGATTTTAAAATTGTTAGAACGAACATCTGCGATAAGATTTTTCTATCTCTAATAAATAAAGTTTGTTCGTAAATACAAACTTTAGATACATCTCATCCTCAGCCCTGATGTATAAATTACATAAAAATATTTATTTTTCGAAGCATTAGAGCAAAGCCTCGCTTCTCATTAGAGGGAGATTCCAGCAGATTTAATCCAGGACCATCAATTTAACCCGACAGTGTGTGTATATGCTCCTTAGCAACCGATTTCAAAGAGTTTCGAAATCTGTCTGATAAACATCAAATCCAATGCAAATTAGTATCTTGTTCTCGAAAAGGTGCTGGTTTAAGCTGATTAAGTAGTGACAGTTTAATGGAATCGGTGTTCTACTCCTGTCAAGCGTAAATTCAACGAAAATCTTTTCTGCTACTAAAACGCCGTAAATTAATTT